AGGGAAAGAAATGCAGTTTTTAAAATATTTTTCAGGATGGATACTAAGTAAGAAAGATGCAGAGTCACAGATTCACGGTAATTGTGTTTCTGTGTGAGACTTAGAAAGCAGGAGTCAATTAAAGGTACCACCCTGTACCCCATCACCTCTTGTAGGGTCATCCTGGGGTCTATAAAATCCTTATTTCAAGTGCCCGTATTCTTGGAGCTTCTCCCATTTTTTCAGTGCTTCCTTCTGGATTGTGGAAAGTAAATAATTACCAGCATTGCAATGTACCTTAGCCATATCTTGGAGATGTGACAGAAGATAGGGGATGAAGCCCTTACCATAGCTACAGTAGCCACCAAGGTTCACCAGGGCATGGACCTTTTGTGGGGTCTGCTTTCACCCACCTTAAGGCTCCTTTTATATTACGAGGGCAAAAGAAAGATTTTTCTTTTTTTTTTCTTAGACAAGAATCCGTAAGGAGGGTCTGTAAGGCCTCCAGAATAAACTGATGATAAGTTGCATGCTTTGCCGCTGGGTTTGCTGGGTCTTCGCTGACAGTGGAGAAACAGCGAGACTAGGGATGCCTGGGCTGGCCTTCTTCCCTAGAGCCTTTCTTTGGCTCCCAGTATCTCCTCCTTTTTCAGCTTTCCTTTACAGGGTGGGCTTCTCTCTTTGACCCAGCTCCCTTTCCATTTTTTTCACAGCTCTCCACTACAGTTCCCACTTGGATCCTCCATTTTTGGCCCTACTCTGATGCAATGTCTTACGCCAGCTTATTTTATTTTCTCATATCTCAGTCTGACTCCTGCCCTCTTTGCATTTCAGTTGGAACCTTATGGTGGTTTGTGCTGGCCCTTGCCATCAGGGTAGGCTTATCCAGAATGTTCTGTTAATACCATGTTACCGGAGCAGGATTTAATATTTACCAAAAAGGGCAAGTGTGACAAGAATATGGAGTTTTGGGTTGGGTTTTTTTCTTCTTCTGCATATGTCTTCCTAAACTTTGCATTGCAGCATGAACGTGCTCATCGGAATTTCAAAGACCTCTGCCTTTGTAAAATGTTCAGTATGCCTGTGTGCAAAGGCTGCACTCAAGCCTTATAGATCTGACCCCTCTGATCGTGTGCCACCTGCCTGGAGAATGCGTGTGGTCTTCCTGTGGGCACTAGCACTGAGCAAGGCTCCTCCTGGTATTGCAGAGAGGGGCTGGGCACCACACGGGACACCCAGGAACTGCTGCTGATGGGGCTGCCTCACAGGGGCAGGAAGGAGAACAGCTCTGTCCTGGAGTCCTGGGGCTTCTTCTGTCCCGCTGCTGCCACCTTTTTTATTTTCAGGCCTTTTTTATTTTCATTTTATTGTACTGTCTTGTGTTGTCTTATGCTTTAGCTTGTCGTTGTGTTGTATTGAGTAGATTTGTAGGAGCAGGCCCCAAAGTAAACTATTATGTTAAATTTGAGTTGGTTGCAACAGTGTCTATGTAACTTCTGTGCTATTTTGGGACTCAGTGTTTATACTGGGCGTTTTGTAATTAATTTCTGGGACTAAGTTGTGTTCTAAACTGCGCTGATTTCTATATTTGGGAGAAGGTAGTCACCAAATATTGATTCCAACCACCTCTTTCTGGTTGCAGTTGAAAATATTTAATGTGTTCTTGTAGTAAGTATAAAGACTTTTAGAATGAGAGTGACAAGAATGGAGTGAAAATCCTACTACATAATTTAAAATGGTTTTCAGTTTTTGAAAACGTGATACTTATCAACAGAAGAGATTCCTCGAGGAAATGGCATGACGATGTTAAATTACAGGAGTGGTGTTGTGAATCCTGACTTCTGTATGAGATTTGTTTCAGATTCTCTGTGCACTTTTGGTCAGTACCCCGCTATTATTTGTCAATTTAGCCATTGGTGCAAGAGGGGTTGACATTTAACGATTCACCTGCAAGTGCTTTGAAGATTTATTTTTGTATCCTTTTGATGCTAATATAATTGAAGTTTATGATTCTATTGTATACAAATAATTAATGTTTACCTCAAATATATTTTTTATTAGGTTTTGTACTACAGTCTGCTGTTTGTTATAGTATTAACTTTTGTTGTAGTGTGTATGTTTACTATTTGAATTATTGCTCTAAGGAGAAAACAGAGTGCTGCTGCTTGGAGAACAAAACTTAGCTTTTAGCAGATTGACTGGATTTTATTCTTTATCGCTGAATTGTTTTGTGATTTTTTTTTTTTTTTAACTAAAAATAATTTGGAATTTTCATTTAAGTCTCTCTTGTGTTAGCTTAGAGTTTGGTTTCCTTGTTGCATGTAGTTTCTCATCTATGTGCTAGTAGCTCTGACATTTTCTAGTTTGTCATGTTTTCTTGTGGAAATGTAATTTGACATAGTGCATGTAACTGGTGCATAGTTGTGCTTTATCTTGGTCAGACAAAGAAGCAAAATATTAATTGCCAGACAGAAATATTTTGAGGATTACGCAATGATAAAGCTTTCTTATTTCCAGCAGATCATGCAGCAAAAGATGTGCTAGTAGCTCTGACATTTTCTAGTTTGTCATGTTTTCTTGTGGAAATGTAATTTGACATAGTGCATGTAACTGGTGCATAGTTGTGCTTTATCTTGGTCAGACAAAGAAGCAAAATATTAATTGCCAGACAGAAATATTTTGAGGATTACGCAATGATAAAGCTTTCTTATTTCCAGCAGATCATGCAGCAAAAGAGCCAGTG